TTTTTTTTGGTCCTCTGCAGACTTCTCTATTTTCTTGAGTGTTGTTTTCTCCTTGGGAGAAATGCACTTATCAACGCATCTGGAACTCCTGACAGGTCATCCTCTTATCTGCTGCATTCTGAACCTCTACATCTCATCTCCTTGGAACGTCAGAATTGAATATGCAACTTCTGAGCAATGTTTCACAAAAGATCTTCATTTGCTGGCTTCTGTCATTGAAGGTATTTTTCATGCATGTCCCTGCAGTAGTTGATGTCACTTCCATGTCATTTGATTCTTCCACTGCTAGATTTTGCTCTCAAATCTGATTTGCTCTCATCCGCTTCCTGACGTCTTCTTTGTGCTCATTGTCACCTACCATGGCACTTCAGCTTGGTGCAGGGGATGGTTTCAACAGAGACCTTGGAGACCAAGACGGGAAACTCACATTTGCCGAAGCAGTAGTCCAAGTCAATGGCCAAAAGCTTATTGGTCCCGAACGCAGGCCTTTGAAGTCTGATCGTCCTGTGGGCGATGTGACGATCGGTGACTTGCCTCTTCGCAACATGGACAGTATGGGCCACAAAGTCGAACAGTATGCTGATGTGATTGTCAATCACAAGCTCAATGTGACGCAGGACTTTTTGGACAACACTCTCTACCGACTGTGTGCGCAGGAGAAGTACAGTGAACTTCCACCTCCGTTCAACATGAAAGAAGAGCCGAAAGTCCCCTATAGCATGCAGATAGTCATCTTGCCAGCCGCTGATCCTCCTAATCCTGATGAGAAGTTTGTGGACATCTTCAAGCACATCTACTTGCATAAGAATAAAGTCTTCTCCAAGGATTGCATGAATTCTTGTCATGGTCATCCTTTCCGTTTCGATTGGGGCCAGCAGGTGCGTTTAGGCCTGTCTGCTTTCAATTATATGCTTGATCGCATGGGTGGGATGCAATTGCGCCTTTGGATCATCAAACCAAAGTTCGAGAAGAAGATGACCATTGATCAGCAAGCCCGTGAGAATGGCTATCGCTTCATTCGTGATCATGGACCACGCTCCAACAACCGGAACCAATTTATGGAATGGACCGATGAACAAGTACATCAACCCGGGGGTCCTCTTGAAGGTTGGAATGAGGGGAAGGTTACCACGGCTTTGCTGAACTACTACAAAGGTAGACAAAATGCCAAAACCATTGAGTATTGGCCTTTTACTTTGAAGAGCTTTGTTCCTTGGTTCCTTGACGACATCCTCGTGCACATGTTGCCAAGCATGCGGCAGCATTCTATCACATGGATTGGCCGCACAAGGGTTGGCAAATCTTTGGGCTCCAAGACAGTCCTCTTTGCTCAGTCGAGGTTTGAAATTGAGCAAGCTGGACGCACAGATCTTGTCCCGGGCATCGTCACAGCGAAGCATTTGGACTTCTTCAAAGCGGAGCCGATCACCAAATTCAAGCCGGGCGTCTTTGATGATGGTCTGCTTCAGAAAATGGATGCCTCATTCCTCAAAGCGTTCCTCAACCCGTCTGCTCCTCGCCGACAGAGATATGTTTGTGGTTATCTTTTTACGTTTCACTTGTGTATCTCTATGTCAAAATAATTCAAAATATAATTACACTTGGGGTAATTGTATCTGTACAAACAAATACATAGTTTTCGAAAGTTTTATCAATATATTGATGTTTCTAGATGCAGATTTACATCTTTGCCTCAGGAAGAGGATGCTACCGTCTGGGCCAGATATTCATCTGCGCAATTTGACCAAGGAGCCGGTCGGCATGCTTGCAACAATCCGTACAACATGCAGATTGAAGAAGACTTGGTGAAGGGCATGCAAGCCTCAGGAAAGCAGAAGATAGAGCACAAAGACTTCCTCGACCTTGTCGCTCCTTCTTTTGCTGGCGTTGAGGACAAGGCAGATTTGGCCGCTATCCTAGCCAGAACGCACCTTATAGTCTTGACCGATCACGGTGTGTATTGGCGCCTTGCTAGCACAGGTGCGACAAGCGTGCCTTTCATCCCATGGCCTAACCCTGAGGCGAAAGATTTGCTTGCAGAAGCTGAACGGCCAATCTTTAGGGCGTACAAACGCAATCCGCAGGCCCATGAACTCCCAGAGTCTTTTCATGCTGATTCAATTTGGTCCCAAGAACTTCTTGCCCGCTTGCTTCGCGGAGAACAGGTCCCACGCACCATCACCATTCGCGGTCGTGGATTGTTTGGTGGTGAGCTAGTTGAGACCCAACAAGCACCGCGTTTGCTGCCTCCGGATGAGATGAGCATGAAGATCAAGCAGGAAAAAGTGGATTCCAAATTCAAGGAGCTCAAAAGCCAGCGCATTGACACCATCGAGCTGGATACGCCTTCTCCATCGCCTGCCAAAAGGTCTCGCGTCAACAATTCCAGTCTTAGTTCATCAGCCATGCCAGCTGACCCGCCACAGAATCCGGATTTCCCTGGTATTGGAGAATCAGATGGACTAGATGAGCTTGATGATGAATTGCAGAACGCACTGGAGTTTGAGGGTGGTCATGGATCTTTAGATGGCTTTGAGAATGCTTGTCTTGTTGTGGCCTTGCAGAACCTTGGGTGTCCTGTTGCTTGTCCTCGAGATGGTCCTTTTACAGCTCTTGATGGGTGTGTCATGCTTCGTCCACTCGGTGCCAGCCTTCAGATCATCCCCCGAAACATGTCGCTGACGCAAGGCAAATATGTTGTTCTTGACATTCAGGCTTCACATTTCTTTGCTTTGCAGCACATAGAAGGTTTTGCGATTAAAATGGATGGTGACGACAAGGTTGAAGTATCCATCGGCATGCTATCCTCTATGATGTTGAATCCACGGTACTATTTCTTCAAGGTTGTCCTGGGCATCCCTTCCTCTTCAACTTTGCTTCAGGTGCCGTATTCCATTTCTGGAGGAGCCTTAGCTCGGAAAGTGTATTCGACCCAACTCACCAAATGCCCTTGTGGACACCGTTCCTTTTCCAAAGGGCATGATGTGGCAGCTGTGGTGTACACCTTGGCAGGTCCATGTGAAACGACTGTACGCACCATGCGTTGCAATGCCTATGGGTGCCGCACAACTTTTGGACCTAACTTCCTGCTGGATGATGGAAAGAAGATCAACACAGCCACTTTGGAGAATGTCCCGGATGTTCTGTTTGTGAACAACAAGCTTGGCTTCTCCTTGGATTATTTGAAATATCATTCAGCCTTGGAATTTCGAGGCTTCTTGGCCGCTCGAGCCATAGAGGCTGCTTACAAATCAGTTTTTGACCATGAGCACAGTGAAGTTCGCTTCCGTGCAATGCACGCAGACTGTGTCATGTACTGGCTGGCTTTGCAGGAGCTCTCATTGATTGGGTGCGAGAAAGACATTGTCATTGGAGATGAAATCTCAGAGGCTGCGCTCCGCAAGTATGATGACTATGTGCACAAGGTTGCTTTCCCACCCAAAAAGAGGGCATCAGTGACTGAACTTGTCGGAGATGGTCACTCGAAGGTCCACATCAAATGTGGCGAAACTACCACACATGCAGGACGACCTCGGAAAGACGGTTCTTTGAAACCCTTTGGGCATGGATGGTTCATGCTAGTCAACCCGCAGGATCAACGAATTCTTTGTGTGGTTGCCATGGACAAGCCGGAGAACAACCCAGTGGTCCAGAAGTCGTTGGAGAAAGTCTTGCCTCTGTACCAGAAAGTCAATGGATTCATCATGGACCGTGTCTGTGGTTTCGCACCGACTCATGCAAGTAAGAAGTCCCTCTCCCAAATCAAATATTGGAGCCTTGACAAGTTCCACGCCCACAGGCACAAGAAGACTTGCGTGTACAATCCACTCTATGTCAAGCGTTTGTCTCGGCGATTTGCGAAGACAAATACGTCGGCTTGCGAACAAGTTTTCTCTTGGTTTCGCAATTATGCACGGATTTTGAATGAGGCACGTGCAATTCGCCACACTTTTAAGGTGCTGTACTTTTCCAAATTGCACAACCAAGCTGTGGCTGAAAACAAGGCCAGCTACTTGAACAAGTTCAAGAAAGCTGTGTCTAAGGTAAGCAAAGCATATGCTTGCTAGAACTAGATTTTGGAACAGAACTAGCGCGGAAAAAATGAGATGTCTTAGCGCCAACTCCTTGCTTGCATTGTCTGCAGCAGATGATTTGACTGTGGTAGTATCCTTATGCATTCTTCCAAAAATCATCTTCTTTACTGTCATGCTGGCTCTGACAAAAGAAAGTAGAAACACATCTTGCAACTGCATCATCTGCTTCCAATCATCTGGAAATGCCTCACATCTGTACATTAACAAACAATAAGCTAGAAATCATTAAAAAACCTATGAATTAAAAACCCACCCCCCAGCGCAATCCGCTCTCTTAAAAAAAACACACACATGTTACTCATGAGAGAAAGGCAGAAAGGCAAGGAGTGTTGTTGAATCTGGAGCTGACAAGACTGTTCATTGGACATCTCCAGGAAGAAGGAAAACATGCAACAATTATCAGCATTTCAGGGATGAGGTATTTTGTGATATGCAGCTCTTCCGATCTTTCTGTTTTGGTCTCAGCATCGACGCGTTTTTTCACGGTTTCTCCGACTGCATCCTCTGGTTTCTCCCGGACAAGCAACACATCGAGGCCGCCACGCGCACTTTGTCTCGAGCAAGAAGCAGGAATGGGAGTTCGTCCAATCAGAATCGAAAGGTTCGAAAGAAGAAGTATGTAGCCAAGGCAGACAAACCTAGAATCCAGTGAATCCACTCAATCCTGTGAATCCACCTTGTTTTTCAGGACCTTGGGCCATATGTGGCCATATTTCAGATAGCTAAACCAGGAGTCACTCCGGCTCTAGATTCTAGATATGGATGGGGATCAAGCATGAATACCAATAGACTCAGTGATGGCAGTCGATCCTTTTTGTTCAATGGGTTTGGCAGGGTTTTGATCGTACCCTATTCTTGAGCTATGGTTTTTTGATGACATTGCACCGACGAGACTTGTTAAAGGGACAATAAAGGAATTTGGTGTTTGTTTTGTGTATTTTCTAGGGGCAGTGTGGCGAGCTACAGAACTGTTTGCCCAATAGCGGCCATGAATGAAAGCCGGAAAGAATACATGACACATTCGCAGGAAAGACTCCTTCGGTTTGCAAACTGGGCTTTGTTTTTTCTTTGCGACTCTGTGAGCAGCATGATAGGACGATAGGTGCTCATTGGGAGCTTGTCTACTCCGCAGTGCATTCTGGGCACAGGCATCCATGCAAGACTCCCGGACAAAGAGTGCTTCTCAAGAGATTGCTTGAACCAGAAGTTCCTCCAGTGGTGTGCTACCTCTCGACACTCTTCCTCTTGAAAAGAGGAGCATGGTCCAGGAGTTGGAAGATCCATCGACAGATCGGAATCACGAAAGGTAGCTTGAGCTACCTGAGTTCCCCTTGCTTTAGCAAAAATGTATTACAATCAGGAGTTGGGATTGTGCATTGAATTTGGTCCTGTAAGAGTTGATTCTGTTCGTCGGGGGGGGGGCCCCCTGGATCAAATCCCCCCTGCGCCGGTTCACGCAGTCATGGACTTCTACCAGGGTTACTTGTGATTGCCTGCTACCTTTCGCTCACCCCCTCCTCTCTCAAGTTTGGGCGACAGGAATATAGTCGGAGATTCCATAGCAAAACGTCGGCTTGATGCGGTTCTATCCATGTCCAGAGTCACTTTGCCTCATGCGGCATAGAAAAGAATCAGGAGTGTTGGCCTGCCTTCTGAAGAGGCTGCGCAGGTGGGATCCATCGTGAGAGCAGTACAGATGGTCAGCAAGTTTATGTCGATCAATGTTAATCTTCTGGGACATGTTTGGAACATCCTTGGATATTTGGTTTGGGAACTGGTGAAAATTTCAAGTACCACCGCTTCCCGAATCAAGAAACAGTAGGCTCTCCTGGTCGTTTCTCTTACATTCTATTGAACATTCCTGCCACTCCTTCCAAAGAGAGTATCCCAGGCGAACACGGGCAACAAATCAGATCCTTCTTCTTTAGCAACACTCACGTTAGAAGCTTCAAGCATCCATCCATGATCGGACCATCTGATGAAGTTGCGCACGTTGCGCACCTTCTTCCTTCGAACGAACCGCCCGAGAGCCACCGCGGCCTGGCCGAACGGCGGGTGCCCGGGCGTAAAAACGGCCCGGCCGTTCCACCCACGGCCAGACGGTGGAGAAGAAGCGCCGGAAGACCATGCGGTTGCATCAGAAGAAGGGCCACAAGGGCGAGGCCCGTGCGACCTTCGGACCTCTCCCTCCGTCGTGTCTCTTGAAAAGGGGACGTGAAGAGGAACTGCAAGTGGCGTATACTGGAGTGTCGGCGCCCTGCGTATTTTGGGTTTGCAGAGGAGCTGCAGCAAGTGTTGACAGGAGTAGTAAGATACAGTTGTATGATGCCATGATTCAGTTTGTGATATTGTTTACATATATATACATATTATATGATATATATATATATATATGTGTGCTAATAGTCTTAAACAATCAGTCAGCTCAGTGAAGTGGGGTTTCGTCAAGTTCTGACCCTATCGCTCCAGGCCGACAGATGGATCCCGGATCTGAAGCCCAAGCACTTGTACTCGGGCCACTGGGCAGGAAAAAGATGCGAAGCGACACTTCTGGCCCGAAAACACTCTGATGGCCTGGACTCAGAGCAAACTAAGATATAAATCGTTACATTTAGTCATGTAGAACTATTGTTTTAAATGTATTAATATATATATTAATATATTATATAGCTAGCAAGTACGGGTTTGCAGGTCTCAATGGTTGAGTGCAATGGATGTAGAGGTCGTTCTTTTCTCAGCAGCTGAATGGATTGTTGGGCGGTGAAATGGTCCAACAACCGTGGTTCTCCAAGGCAAACGGGGCATCGGCAAGACGGACCGGCGGTGAGCCCAAACGGGCGCCGTGGAGGACAACAACCCTTTGAAACGAGGTGGGGAGCGAGCCGGTGGAGAGAAGGAGTGGGGGTGTGCTATGGTGTGCTTGATGAGGACATCTGGAGAAAAAAAACAGTCCAATCTGGGGTTGAAGGAGTTCCATATAGTTGAAGGAGTTCAGTTGAGTTCGGAGAACCACATCTCGTTTGTGTTTGAAGCGACTGTTTTGATACTTCAAGTCCTAGCCAGCTGACCCATCAACCATCATCAACCTTCTTGTGCGGAGGCCCTCGGACGATAAGCCGCTCCAGACTGGAACGCGTTGGTGCAGAACAGCAGTCTTTGATCAGACAACACACAGGCAGCATGCTATCAATCGCATGGTGTGTACAGTAATTAGCATGTAGTATGCTTTACTCATGCCAGATCTAGACGTTATTTTTTTGCCAGCAGCGTATTCCTTAGCTGACACAACCACGAAGCTGCTGCTTCTTGACTGCCAAAGTATTCCTTATCAGGGTGCGCGTCTGAGGAAAAGTGCCACCAGACCAAATGACAGTTGCAGTGGTTTTGCTGGACAAGGGTAGAGTTGGCAAATGACTTTCCTCAGGTTGCAAGGACTTTGCATATAATAGTTTCTATATGCATTGGTTTTAGCATGTGTTGGCATCTGAATGCCACATCCTGCTTCTCTTGGATTGATTGTTTTTTCTTTGTCTTGGTTTTGCGTGGTGCAAGGTCCCCCTCACTCACAGATGTCTTGGGGATTGCGCTGCTTGAAACCTTTGTCCAACAATCAGAAGGGGATCCGGACTACTGATTGATCCCAAAATGACCAAAGCTTTGCTCATATTTGTTCCTTGAAACAATCGCAAACTTCAATTGTTTCAGAATATCAGTCTTCAAACGATGACCGCCGCCCGCGATTCTGAGTCTGCGAAATTGCGACAAGAGTTGACCAACGGAGAGAAGAAAGAACACAATCACGAACTTGGTATTGGTTTGTAGAGGAACTTTGCAAATGCAAAGCCAAAGTCCTGTACATCCTACAGGAAAGACAAGTCTTCTTTCAGGATTCGACGGGGGGGTCCCTTGCTGTTTGTGGCCGCGATCACGATCCCCTGAGCTTAGACTCTTTCATCTACACGATTCGACACGTGTCAGTCGTTTTGAACTCCAACTGTTTTTTGTTTAGACAAGTAACAAGTGCATCGCAACTAGTAACTGCTAGTCACAAGAAGAAGCTAGTAACCATATTACAGAGTATGTCGTAACAACTGCTGGACACGTTTCAGGGTCCGAAGCTGGTTGACCACTAGACGCAGACAGACGAACAGGTCCATTTAAAGCAGTGGAATGAGCCAAGATCCAGACCTGGACCTCTCCTGGAGTGGCTCCGCTCGCACCGATGGATGCATGGCTTTCCACCTTGCAATCTGCCACGTCGCTCGGACGTGCTCTCTGCGGAAGCCCCGCGGCACGCGTGGCGAAGACGTGCTGCCAGAAGTCCTGGTTTCGGAAACAGAGCGCTCTCTCATTTGATAGATTCTTCAAGAAACAAGACTCGCTTTGAGCAACCCATAGCATAGGTAATGGGATGTACAGTAATTAGGTCGACACGTGGCTAACATCACCAGCAGCTGCGCCAAGTCAACATCAGTCTGGAATGTGTTGGAGGTGACAATGAATCACCAGCTATCAAAGAAGGAACACGCAGTTTTCCTCCCTTGTCAAAATGACAAACATGCAAACATCTACCAAAACATCAAAGCATAGAAGATTTGTTGGCAGGAAACCAAATTGTAAAGAGCATTTAACAGAAGATGTTTGCCTTCGCTAGGGCTTCCGATGCTGCCTCCCCGAGGGCCAATGATGCAGCAACCACCAAAAACTACGGCCACTGCGGAAATGGTCCAAGCGAGGCGATGGAGGTCGGCAGCACAGCGTTTGGTCGTCCGCTCTGACGAACACATGGTAGCCAGGTAGACGGAGAGTTTCATGGTCTTTCCAGGGTCCATGCCATTCACTTCCAAGATCGCAAGACTTCCAGGGATTCAGGCAGATTCGCAAGGTTTTTTATATGGAATCTGAAGTGGTGGACTCAGCTGAGCAGCCAGGTCGGTTGGTTAGTTACTCGGTAGATGTTGGGATTTTGGCTTAGCACTCTTCTGGGCAATAAAATGTTGCCAGAGAAAGTTTCAGAGTCAATATAATTATATAATGTATAGCTTGGCTTCGTGTCTTGTCTTGATTCGCTTTTGGGTGGATCCGTTCTGGTGTATTTTATCAATCCAGGATCCACAATCTCGCAATTCACCCTTCAGATCCCGGTGCCGTATAAAAGAATAGTAAATCCATCCCCCAACAACACAAACTCCGAAAAGAGAACACACACACAACGTATATATATATATATTGAAACATCATGAAACTGTATGAACCATATATCATTTCGTTAAAAAAAAGATAAGAAAGAACACATATAATATACAAACCACTAAAGCCAAACAGACCAAGCATCTTACGCTTCCAACTGCCCCCCTTTTGCTTCCAGCACGTGCACGCCACGTTCCGCTTCCTCCGGCCGCCCGTTTCCTCGGGCGCCTCGTGGAACCATGAGAAAACCGACCCTGTCAGGCGGCGCGGTCGGCGCTGGAGGAGTTGACCTCCATGGGCTTCGAGGCCTGTGAGGCCACGGAAGCGCTGGAGACCTGTACCTTGGTCGGAACCGGTGGTTGCTCAGAGAGAGCAGAGGGGAGAGATGACATATATCATCATATATGTTGTCACGATCATATTAGACCTAATATCATATATATATATATATTATCATGCATATTATGTAATCATATCCCTCATCCCAGGAAAATGCACGCAGGAAGGGACGTAGGTAAAATGCATGCATGCAGTGTATTTTTTTCACATGTGTTATACCTAATTAATGCCCTCCCTGAACCAATGATGGAAGTGGAACACCAGCTCGTAAGGGATTCGAAACCACAAATCAGTGTTGTTGAAGTTGGCCGGCTTGTTGTCCCGACCACTTGATCATCTCCGGTGTCATGTTTTAAACAGGACAAGAGCAACTTAGCACAAAACCAACAAGAAGGACATTGGATGACCACCACTTCCTGCCAGGACTACCAAGAACGACAAAGGCAACTTGGTTCATCAAGCACGACAAAACAAGAAGGACAACATTGAACGACCACTGCTTCCTGGTGGCCAGGTTATACTGGCGGCCAGGATTAGTTTTATATCAAAGACGACAAGGTCTGTCAGTTTTCAATACGCAACCAGCAAGAAGGACAACATGGAAGACCTCTTGGCAGCCACAGCCGCGCCAGTGCTCTTCTAAAAGTTATTCGTCGAATGAACCGCGTCTCCAACTGAGCCGTCGCACTTTGATTTGTCCTCATGGCTCAAATGGCAGCAGCGTGGAAGAGGAGGAAAACGCCCGCACGCACTGACAACGACATTGATCGCAGCATTGGTGACTTGAGCAGCTCTTGGACATTGGAGGATCATGCAGTTCATGGCATGCGGTACTTGGTGATTGGCCATTTTTTGGTGGAACCTATATATTACCTGTATCAGGTACTATAGGTAAATTAAGGTATGGAACTTACAAGACCATTGCTTTTAGCGGGACGAAGAGGGTTCTCTAGGTTTACATCATGCAGGATAGGCGTGAAACAGGTCTGAACTTGGTCTAAATGAGGAACTGGGCGGTTTCCCACAGCAACTAAATCCTTGGTCGCGAGGCAGGAGTGGCCAGTATGAGCAAAATAAGGAAGTCCTGGACTTGCAGTATGTGAGAGCTAGGTTTTAGCTGCTGCGGCTGGTCCTGTACCTGAGCAGACATAGAGGTGGAAGCCTGTTTTTCCTGTCAATCTACGGGACGGAGAGGGTTTTCTATTAGATTTTCACTGTTCGCACCCGGCCCAAAGGAGCAGGTCTTGACTCCTCTACAAAGAGAGAGAGAGAGAGGGGGAGCGAAAGAGGAGTTTATGTAGAGTGCGTTTATACAAAGAGAGAGACGGAGAGACAGAGAGAGGGAGCGAAAGAGGGAGAGTCACGGAGCGCAGGGCATGGGCCAGTTTATACTGCGTTAATACTCCTTTGGCCCTGCCCTTTTCACACTTGAATAAATAACCTTTTCATGGTTTGGGGTGAGAAGGGGTTGGTCCGGTCTGAAACTGGTGTTGAGATCGCTGAGCGGGTTCCTCCGCGCCAACTGCGCAGGTGCCGAAGAAGTCCTGGTGGAGCCTGTCGCTGGCGACGTTCCCCACAGGCTTGAACTCGACGGTCGGTGTGGTGGGGATGGTAATACGGGCAAATTTTCAGATTCTAGCGCACAGACTGTAAACTGTCGATGACCTTCCGTTTGCCTTTTTCAGCATCAAGTATGGGAAAATTGCTACCAACATGTCTCACCGAACACGTAAATACTGCACCCTCGATCGAAGTCAGTGGACCTTTACAAGAAGGACCTCTGCAGAGAGGACCCTTAGTTGGCCGAAAGCCGAGAAATCATAGCAGTTGCCAAGGTTCGCGACCCGAGGAACTACAGATTGTGATACTTCCAAAATCTTCCACGTTCCACGTCATCATATACATGATCGGTTGGACTGTCAGGGTACCTGAATCATCCCAACGACCATTCATAACCAACCTATAACCATCATCATCCATTTGTAGTCAAAGTACTAGTGCTCCCGATCATTGAATCATGGAGAGGAAGGTCGCAAATCTCCTGCGGAAGGACAAGGTGCGGTTGAAGGAGTTGCCGCCTCAGATTGTTGGGGCGATTCTCCTGCGTGGCTTGCGTGATGCGCGCTACGAGAAAGCAAGTCTGGACTCTGAGAACTGGAGCAGTGGCAGAGCTGCGCGTTCTTGGGAAGGTCTGTTGACGCAGCGTGGGGTTGAGCTGGCAATTCTGGACGAGGGCTCTGAAGTTGTTTGGAAGCATCTGGTTGAAGGAGAAGATCAACTGGGAGCTCACGGACCTAG